TGGGGAAGATCTTCCCCAACTACCATATTCTCCAGATATGGCACTATCAGATTACCATCTTTTTCGTTCGCTACAACACCATCTTAATGGGAAAACGTATGCAAATGTGTGAGGTGTTAAAGAGGACATCGACATGTTTTTTGCTTCAAGTCCAAGCGATTTCTTTAATCAGGGCATTAACAACCTCATTGTAAGATGGAAAAGCATCATCGATAAGAATGGAGACTATTTCATTTACTAAGTGTTTTGTTTTGATATATAAGTTGTTCGGGTTTTTTTCATCTAAAAAAAGCGACATTAATTTCTTGACCACCTAATATTTTTCTCAGAGAAGAATCAGCAAATGTGATAAAAATCTTATTTAACTGAAAATGCTTTTTATCATATTTTTCATTAGGGACTTCAAAGAAAAAGTGTGTAATAATACCATTTCAAATGTTTCTTTTCTCTACCACTAGTCACTATCTAGGAGACCTTTTGCTTACTACTAGGACGTAAACGTTGAAACGTAAACTTTAATGAGTAACAAACGAACTTAAAGTAAAATTGATTATGAGAATTGTTAAGAAGATGCAAGTAAAGCTAAATAAAATACATTACGTAATAAGTTATGTAGTCGGCTAGTTAGACAATCAACATCAAATAAACTGATGAATATGGGAGGAAAACAAGGAAATGTACATTTCTTTACATAAGTTTCATCCTTTTGATAGATAAATACTCTGATGACTTTTCTGATCTTGAGTAAGCATCCTAAATGTTTCATTTAACATTAACGAGAGAAAGTGACTCTTTTCGTGATTGCAGAGTTTTAAAAATTGATAAAAGAACACGATTAGACATTGATTCCATTTGCTAGTGCGTCTTAGAACATTAAAAAACATATTTTGTTACTATTTTTATCGTCAATAAAATATGACATTAATACCGTTTTATGCGTTTCAGGGTTCAAAATATAATCTTAGAATTATTAACCTGTCTAATATTAGACATTATTAATTCCTTTATTACCATATCAGCAACCATATAGGACTAACATGTTCAGTTACGGGAATTTGAACTTGCGACCCTCAAAGTGCGAGTCTAGCGCCCTAATAACCAGAACGTGCCAGGTCCGTAAGTATTCAAGCAATAGCTTTACGAGAAGCTTCAAGATTTTATGGAAATATTATTGTATAATGATTGAATAATTAAGGCCTAGTCACAAACAGATCATCAAAGCACATTCAATTGTGTTTGAAGTATTGTTAACAATGAAAAACAAAAACAAATCAGTGTTACCTCAGAAGTATGTTAGACTGATTTGGACTAATGTCTTGAATATTTTTTCTGCGGTCACTCGTGTGAAGCGTACATGGGAGTTGCCCACATGTTTATTATTTGTTATGTTTCTTGTGCTACATTGTTATTGTGCGTCTAAAAAAATACCATACGTTTATAAACAACATAATTTTTTTGCTTTGCTGTTTTTTAACTATGAATCAAAGTATACAATAGGTATTAATAGAAAACCAAAATAACATTAACACAGAACGAAAAGGAACTGTCTGATAATATTCAAGATAAACTTACACATTTACGTTTCGTTGTTATTTGTTTATTGAAGACCAATAGTTTTCAATTCGACTGTTTCGCCATCTGATGATCAAATTAATCATTTGAAAATCGTCTCGTAACGAACAAGAATAATCTTATATAACACTATAGAATTATTAAAAGATAGTTATCTAATGTATTTGAATATAGTAGGTGATGAAGTGCATATATATATATAAATGTTTAAACTTCATAAGTCACCAGTTTCACAGGATTTGTTTTAGAAATACTTCTGAGATGGGTTGAAATTATGCTGAATAGTTTTATTGTACATTTAAAATGCTATTTTACGAATTTAAAATTGATTCTTATAATATTCGTTACTTTTGTCGTCATGTGATTTTGTAAACCACAAAATTCCTAAGCAACTTATGATTAAAATATTTAAACTATGTAAGATTTTGCTCTTTTATAACTCTCGTTATCTATTGTAAATATTTTTTTGTATGTTTTATTT